CCGTATCCAAGCAGCTGCATGTTTGTCTTTAATCTTCTGTTAAATTCAGCGAGGTTAACATGCATAAAATAAACAAAGAGGTTACAGAGTCACTAATGCTCTGTTTGAAATACAGATATATGCAAAGCAGCTCCATATCACTCACGGAGGCCACACACAGCACCGCCTCACAACCCTGCTGCTATCCTGTGCTTATTGACCAACCTGCTGCTGATACCCCGGGGCTCGGTCAATACAGATCGCTCCGACCGCTCTGCCACACACAGCACAGACGAGCAGCGTGCTCATTTATTCTGCTTGATCAGGTAAACAACACCAGGCCGTGCAACCTCTCTTTGTGTGGAAACTACAGGTTGACTTATCCAGCATGGTGTGAAGCTGCAGGTACAACGTGAAAGTGAAAAACATGTTACAGAAAGTGGACAGAAAACCTGCCTGAAGCCAGAAAGTAACATTCAGTGAAAGAAATCACAGAATTTTCTTAACATGCGCTTGTTTCAAACCTCTGACCCACTGACTGCTTTAGCTTTCAGCAGTTGGTTGATAGCAGATTAAATATTTTTCCCACTATTTGCTCAACTGGCTGAAGTTGCAGCTCATGAGCTCAAGTCTACCAAAGAACAAAAATCGTCCACTTTCTTATGTTCAGAGCACGAGGCCGGCGGGATTTCCAACAGGAGAGCACCAAAGCCAAAGTAGCGACGACAACATTTAACCAACATTTAATCTTTTCCTGTGGCTTAAAGCTGTGGACCTGTGGGTTCGGGTGAGATCAGAACTGTGGGGTGAGACCACCACCAAGTTTTTCCAGAAGAAGAAGAAGACTGAAACATTCAGTGATGGTTTTACATTAAAAACATCAACAAAAATCCATTAAATGCTCGAGTCACAGTCGAGTTTCATCACAATGCTGAAATCAGATTAAGGCAGACACACATCCACCTCAACAGGAGGCCCATATCGGCTCAGTGCATCAGTCTAATCCACACTCAGTCTTTGCAAAGGTCAGTCCTCTCCAAGCTCCATTATGGTTCAAATATCAGCAGGACTCTTAAGCAACCCCCACCCAACAGCAGGGGATTATTACTGGAGTTGTCCCGAGTGTGTGTGTGTGTGCGTGTGGGTGTGTGTGTGTGTGTGTGTGTGCGAGCACTGACCGTTGCAGACAGCCTGTCCCTTCGCCAGCTCTGGCTCCATCTCGATGATGTATTCCTCCTGTGTAAACCCCCTCGTGCATGGCAACGACCCCTGCTTGCTTGACAACGATTGCTCGGCCTCTCCACCCACAACCACCGCCTAAAGACGAGGAAAGAGAATAAAAAGAGCTGTTTGCATTTCAGATTGCACCTTTTTACCCCTTCGACCTGGCAAAAGGATGTTTTTCTCCAGAGCATTATCGAGCTGATTCAAACAGCAGAAAATCACAAAGACTTCTCTGTGGTCGTTCATGAAAATGACAGACACCACTTTGTTTCAGAAGACTTGTTAAGCATGAATATAAGGAGAGAAACCAGCAAAGGAAACGTAATTAGCACAGACCAATTATCTCATTTCCCACATTTACTTATTGGGTTTGTTTTGCTCGTCTTGCGATGTGGCGGCAGAAGCAGTGGCGTGCGTCAGAGGGAAAATAGACCCAGTGCAGCACCGGCCGAGCCAAGAGAGCTTTATTAATCACTATGAGGCGCAACAGACAACTGGGTCAATTAATTTTGATGATAATTAGCGTCTAGACTTTTGTCTCTGCTGTTGTTTGAGCGTTGGCCCAATGTGACCCCCCCTCCACCCCCTGTCCCACATACACACTGACGCACACAGACACACACACTCCCAGTCCTGCACAGAGAAAAGCATCTGTTGTTCTTCTGTGATTAAAGGAATAAAGCCAACAGGGTGCTGTGATTCGCTTCCACTTAACCCAAAAA